CACACACACACACACACACACACACACACACACACACACACACACTTCCCTGGACAAAGAAGTGTGGGTGGTACTTTATAAGTGGTTGAGGCAGGTAAAAGATCCCCCTGAGAGGTAGCTGCATCAGTGACTGTGGTCACCTAGCCAGCTCCGTGCTGATGCTCCAGCTGGGCCTCTGTCCTCAAAGCCTGACCAGTGGGAGGGCAGGAGACCTGTTGGGGAAGCTCTGCAGAATAGCTCTTTCTCCTCTGGCGATAAGGGTAGAGTCAGAGCATCCAGAAAGATGCCTCTGGTGGCATATTAGGTTCTGTGTTCTGTGTGTCTGTCTCACTCCTTTGAGGCTGAGTCCTCTCACATTCTCCTGTCCCTCCTGGGCTCTGCACTCAGCGGCTGTCCCTAAAAGACAACGAGTGATGAGCAGCTGTTGCAGAGAGGGGCTTCAGGACTGAGGAGCGCTGGGCATGGGGATGTGGGGGAGGCGGCAGGCTGAGGTTGGAATAGAGAGCCTCTGCTGGCTCCAGTAGATGAGGACCTGGGCCAGAGGCTTGCCTCACACACCACAGGTCTCTCCCCAGCAAGATGGGCAGGAGGCGCTGTCAGCAGTCAAAGCTCAGGGAGAGAGGGGCAGGAGCTCACAAAAGCAGCAGCTCTGGGGGGTGAGAGGGGCAAGACAGGAGGGAAAGGCATCCCTGACAGGGTGTGTCTTCCTGCAGAGCCTTTCCTTTGGGCACCGAAATGGAGCCAGGCCACACAGAGCCACCCCTACATCCCTACACTCTGAGAAGTTGGCTCCCAAGAGCCCCCTGGCCACCGATGGAAAGGTCAGCGTGCCAACTCTGGGCACTGACCCCAGCCAGGAGATCCAGGTCTTGCCGAAACTCTCATCCTCTTTCCCCCAGGAGACCCCTCGTCCCGCCCTGCCGTGATGTCTCCAGAGCTTGTTTTGTCTCCCTGTCAGATACATGGAATCAAAGCCCTTCCCCGCACCCCAAGTGGGTTCCCAGGAGCACTTGTCTAAGACATCCCCGGCAAAGGGTGGTCATCCGGAGGGGGAGAGTTGCAAAGGTGACTGAGAGAGGTGGTTACTGGAGCAGGGAACGGGGCTGTGTTACAGAGAACCTGTCTCACATGGGGTCCTGTGATGAGCCGGAATGCAGCCTGAGACAGGCTCACAGGCCTTCTTGGGGGCCAGCCATGGAGAGGAGCGAGGGCAACCTCCAGGACGTGTTCTGTGATGAGGCCTTTGTGCTTGAAACAGGCCTGAATGAAAGGAGCCACCTACTGGTAGCCCTTTGGGAAGAACAAGGGGCCTTTGGAAAGAGCCCCAGGGCCTGGGGCAACCCAGGAGGGACCCCAGTAGCCTAACCCCTGGGCTGCCTGGGCCAACAACCATTTATATCCAGCAGGGCTGGGCTGTCTTCGAGTCTACTTATGCTTCAGCTGTGGGTATCTATCCACAAGGTGGGCTTGTGCCTGTTCAAGTTACAGTCGCGTGTTCCGTTGTCAGGGAATGACCCATGCATCTGTGATTGTGCGTGAGCACCGTGGGAGAGCGATGGGTCTGGTGGAGATGGGATGCCCTGGGGGCCTAAGGGTCACATTGGCCTGGGCTCCAGGGCTGGGCCAGACTGCCTGGGGTGACTGGCAGGCAGGGGATAGCTGTGTCTTTCCTGAGTCCCTCGCCCTGCGCAACCCCTGTATAGCCCAGCACCCAAAACTTGGTTCTGACACCCCAGAAAAGGCTGGAGAGATGGTATTTCTTCCTTCCCTATCTTTGTGTTTCTCTGCCTGGCTTCTTCTCACCAACTGGCTGTGGGGACTGACAGCATGATCTTGGCTTCCTCAGCACAGCCTAGCTCCGCTCTGCCCTCAGTCACAGCCAGCAAGACCAACGTGTGGAAGGGGAAGGAGGAAGCTGGGGTGACACGGTGGGTTGTGGGTTTGCTCTGTGGTTCTTAACCCTGGTGTTCCACACACTCCCAGGGATTCGCTGTGGCCTGGCGAGGGGCTCAGGTTTCAGAACACCCTGGTGTTCCTTCTGTTCTTTGACTGATGTCACAGTAAACAGAGCTAAAACAAATCTTGCTGGTTTGGAGACACTTAGATATGCATCTGTGTAGTAAAAATTAAGATACACAATGAGGTGAACCGAAACCCAGAAAAGGGGGCGTTTCCAGGGGCAGGAAGCAGGGCAAGAACGCGGCGAGGCTTCAGCTGCTTCTACTGGGATTACTGTGTTTCGTTTCTTGAGTACAGTGGTGGGGACACAGCATTATTTTACACTTTTTAGTTAGGTTGAAATAGTTTACGAGTTAGTGGAGGGAGAATCTGAATTTTGCAGTCAGACAGACCTGGGTAATAAGCGCATGTCTGCCACTGACTAGCTATGTGATCTGGAACAGGACTTGACCTGTGCAGGTCTGTTTAGTCTGTTCATGCATGTACAGAATGGGGCTCCCAGGGTGGCGTGAGCATCACCGGCAAAGTCCTGACACCTGTTCCCAGTCCCTTCCTAGGTGTCTTCGAGAACAGATAGGCCTGTGGGACGGGTAGGGTGTTAACTTCCCCCTGGGCTCAAACTGCCACCTCAGAAGGATGACACCGCCTCTTTAAGGAGACTGGGGCCACAGGCGTCAGAGCAAGAGACACAGTTCCTCATGGGGTCCTTCATTGGAGGGTGAGGAAGCTGACTCCAGGGGAAGGCGGTTTGGCCCACATCCAGAGCTCTCTCCACACGGCCCCTCAGCAGAAGTGTAGAATGGGGCAGTAGGAGGCGGGGAAGGTTAAAGAGGGAAGAGCCTTGTTCTCACACTGTGGGGATGCCCAAGGCCAGAGGGGGGACCTGCACCCCAGCAGACAGTGTCTGTCTGTCTGTCTTCATATATACACACCTTTTCACACAGTCATACACACCTACATATGTGTGCCAGGCCTAGCGATGGGGTAAGAAAAGGAACTCAGACACCATCTAACTGGACAGGCTTACAACACAATGTGGCTCATTTTTATTTTGTCTCAGGAAAAAAAACAACATTCCTTACAGAAGCAAGGCAGTTTTACAGGGCCTCTGCCTGGGCAGCCCAGAGCTGCCCAAGACACCGCGTGGCCAGTCAGTTCTGCCCGACTCCTCTGAGCCCGCGCTCTGGCGTCACTCCATTGCAGCTCCGAGAGTTGCTCTGGGACGACAAGGGGAGAAGTGCATGGCAGCTCACGGCAGTGGGAGAGGGCTGCTCAGGCCTCCCTGGGCCAGTTCCTGGTGCCTGGTAGCAGCAAGACAGCAGACCAGGAATCCAAGGAGGTAATAAAACAAAATACATTTTCTCCTGGAAAAAACTGTAGTCAAACTCCACCTCTGGGTACACCTGTGCCCAGTCTCCAGGAAGGTCGGTGGAAGGTGGTGTGTGTGTATGAGGGAGCCTGCTGGCAGCCTCAGGAACAGGCCAGCCTGCTCTGTGGAGACAAGGTGTCCTTCTAGATGCTTCTGGAATGGGGGACTGGGCCCTGCTCAGCCTGCTGGTGCTGTGGCTCTGGCCTGGTGCAGGGCCTATCAGCATGAAATGTCCACTCTCTCAGACTCCAAACCCTTTTTGCTGGACCTCATGCTGCTCCAGCTGGGGTTCCATCTCTCAGTCCAATGTCAGCCACCAGAGGGTCTCCTGGCTCCTAGCAAACTCACTCTTTTCCCAAAACAACTGGTTCCACCGACCAGAGGAAGAAAGATTTCCTTCCCTCAGGAAGGAACTAACTCAGTCGATCAAGACACTCCTGCTCCATCCTGGGCCAGGGAGCCCTCTAGGCCAGGGGGCTCTGGACACTCACCCTTGAGCTCATGGCTAAGGAGCTCCACATCCGGGAGGCTCATGTCCCCATGGGACTCACTGGCACCCCCACCACTCACCAGCCCTAGGGCATAGCCATTGGGCCTCCGCCCGGGGTTGGGGGCACTGCCGTTGGCCCACACCCCAGGAGGGTGGCCGTTGAGGCGGAGGCTGATCTGTTCTCCATCGCTGCCATGAGCAGCCACGGCCCGGGCACTGGAGGCCCCGGCCTTGAAGGGCTCCTGCTGCCTCAGAATGTGGCTGCGGATGATCTTGCGGAAGGTCTGGCGGAACTCTCGGATGCGGTAGGCATAGATGAAGGGGTTCACAACAGAGTTGCTGTGGGAGAGGATGATGGCCAGGTACATGAGCCAGCTCGGGGCGTGTTGGCACTCAGGGCAGAAGAAGGTGAAACAGTTGATGATGTGCAGGGGGAGCCAACAGAGTGCGAAGAGCCCCACTATGATGGCCAGGGACTTGGCAGCGTGGACCTCCTTTTGTAGTGTGGACCGAGTCCGCTCCCCTGGCAGAGGATGGCTTTCCATTTGCTTCAGCTGTCGCCGGGCAGCCAGGAAGATCCGCAAGTAGATGCCCAGCATGAGCAGCAGGGGCACCAGGACGCAAGCGAAGAAGTTGTAGTAGACCATGTAGTTCATGGGGACCACGTCCTCAAAGAGACAGGCCACCTGGCTCTCCGTGCAGTTCTTCGAGTTATTTTTGTTCACCTCCAGGTGACTGCAGTTGTTCCAGCCCAGCATGGGAGTCAGGCCGATGGCAAATGACAGCACCCAGCAGACGCCAATGATGCCCTTGGCCTTCGTGCCAGTCACCAAGCCATTGTACCTGAGGACAAGAGACTAGCGTCAGGCAGGATGCAGAGTCAAGAAACCCAGAGCTGGCCTGGTCTTTCCTTCACTGACTGAGAGGTCTGGACCAGTCACTCTCTGCCTTCTAGACACCGTATTTCCCATGTTGAGCAGAGGTCCGAGCCCTGCCTTTTCTCACAGGAGGTGGAAAAGGGAACCACTGCACAGGTGGTCAGGTGGGCATTGAATAGTATTCTGAGGAGACCTGGCACTTAGGGGATTAATAAGTGACTGGGGGAGGGAGAGAAGTCAGCGCCTTCATGCTGATCTTGGTTGGTGCTAGAAGACAGTGCCCTTTAGAGCAGGAACGGGATTGGAGGGTGAGCTCACTGGCTGGGGCAGTCAGCAGATGGAACCTATAGGGGACCCACAGATCTTTCACTCTATGCTCCCCCTTCACCATTTGATTTAGGGGTCCCAGAAGCTCCAAGAAGAGGCGGCACAGGAGGGAAAAGAGGGGTGGAGATACCAGGTCACCTCAGAGCCCATCCACAACCCTCTGGTGAGAAATGGGATAGCAGTCAGCATCCATGAGGGGAAAGGACAACATGCACTGCAGGAAGGAAAAGCAAGCTCTGCCTGCAGTCATTCAGTGACCAAGAGTCAGGCTTCATTCCAGGCTCAGGGACTGGCCTGATTGATAGTCAGGGAGTTGATCCTAGTCCTGTTAGAAGGTGGCGAAGATTTTATTCAAAGAACAGCACTCAAAAAAATCATCTCCTGATTGAGGAAGGAGACCTCTGTGATTTCTGAGGGGTCATCTTTTGCTTTTAAATCTGGCAAAACCAAAGTGCTGGCCCTCCGTGGTGGCGCAAGGGGTTAAAGCGCAGCACTATGAAGATACCCAACCCCTGCAGCACGAGCTTGATCCCCACTCACAGAGCACAGCAGACCTCTCCTGTCTGGCCCACTGCTGCCCTCAGCAGTGTATTTCAGTCCATCTGCCTGTCCTGCTCTCCACTCTGTCTCTGGTGAGTCCCCTTAACTCCATCCCCCCTACCATCTCTGGCCTTCACCCAGGTGTTATGTGCATAAATTAATAAAACCTTAAGTGCCTTGCCCTCTACTTGCTAAACCCTACCTACCCTTCAGTTCAGGCTAGATTCTTCTCAGAGAAGGTTCCTGTTGAAGCCTGGCTAACTACCCAGCTGAGGCCCGAGGCTAGGAGCCCCTTGGGGACAGGGCTTTCCTGCCTCCATCTCTGTATGGCCACCAGGGAGACAACGCACAAAGTAGGTGCTTTGCTTAGTGCCAGAATTAAGCATCCATAGACATGGCCTAGTGCATGAATGGCAAACTCAGGGCCCCCAGTGAGAAATGTGCCATGCAGTCTGGCGGGGCAGGTGTCAGTTAATGCCTTCAGACCCATCACCGTGGGGAAAGTGTGCCCCATGTTTCCAGCTCTTGGGAGGGGCTGGGGAGCTGATTTTCTGGGTAAAATCTTCTGTGGTTTAAATGTTGCCAATGATCTTAAATTAAGGATAAAACAACCTGGTGGTCTCTGGCCTCTTATCTAGTTCAAGCCCCTCATTTTACAGATGGGGAAACTGAGATCCAAGGCGAGGAATGAACTTGCTCTGGACATTCCAGGAGCCCAGAGGCAACTTGGGTTAGGATAAGTTTGTCTGTTCTGATCTTAAGCAGACTCGCAGGGCCATTCTCAGGCAGGCCGCACCCCACTCAGCAGGGAGCTGGGTGCCAGGGGCAGGACTTGACAGGAAGAGGGTCATGGATTTGCCCATTTCTACCCGGAAATTTCTACCCACAGAAAGCCTGCTCTGCCCTGTTACCTGTTCTAGAACCCCAACCGTGGAAGCATAGACTTTGTTTTGCTCATTTTTAAGTTCCATAGCATTTGTTCTGCAACAAGCATTGTTTTTAGTATTCTCCAACTAAGCATTTATATAATCTCACTGAACTAGAAGCTGTTTTAATTTTTTTTAAATAAGCTTTTTTTTTTTAAGATTTTTTTTTAAGATTTATTTATTTATTCATACAGAACTGGGGTACAGACCAGAGATGCGGAGGGTGAGAGAATTCACCAGGGACAGAGTGGGGAGCAGAACAGGCAGATCGACGAAGTACACTGCTGAGGGGAGCAGCGGGCGGGTCAGGAGAGGTCTGCCGCACCATGTGGGTCACCTCCGGGGCAGGCGGGAATCGAACTCATGCGGAAGCGGCTTAAGCTTCTTAGTGCAGTGCTTTAACCCGCTGCGCCACGAGGGAGAGCCGAAGCTGTTTTAACTTTTATATTTTTCTAGAGAAAAGCACATCCTTCTCTCGGCCCCAGCTCTGGTACACCTCCTAGGGTTCTGTCACCCTGCCCCTCTGAGCCTCAGTTTCCTCATTTACAATCTGGACACTGTGGGACGGCTCCGTGAGGGCCGCACGTAGGCCAGCGGGTTGTATGTACCAACCCGGTACATACAAGCTTTTCAGCTGAGCCATTTGCAGGAGAAACAGGCTGCCTGAGCAGCAGTGAGTGTCTGCGTATGAGGAATCAAACAAGGGCCAGCAGTTACGAGGATGCCACCTCGGCTGCAGAGCCCAGAGCCCAGTTGCTTTGGGGATTCTGAAACTGCTCTCCAGCAGCAGAGACCTTCCTGAACACCTTCCCTGGGGACTACAGATATGGACCTATCAAGGAGGAGAGGGGTTCAGTATCCAGTTAATGAATAAATGAGTTGGTGGGGACACAAGCTTATAGCCCAAAAGCTGTTGGGGACACAGCATGAAAATCCCTGGTTCACCCACATTAAGTTTGGTATTCAAGAAGAAGGGGTTGAGAGGCCTCTGTGGGGTTGGAAGAGCTTCAGGGCCCAGGTGGGCCCACAGCCCAAAACAGTGTCCCCTGGGCGTGTCCCAGGGTCCCCTGGGCTTCAGCTGTGACCGTCCAGCAATACACTCTGCTGTGGGGGGAAGCAGTTGCCCAGTACATCGAGGTACCTGTGTCAGCCAGTTCATAGGCTGGCCCTTCTTGGGCCCCCTATAGTCCAAGAATCCCCCAACCCCACGATTTTAGGAAGGGCTGCCTGTGCATTCGCCCTATACTAAGCAGAGGGAAGAACGTTCTTAAACTGCTCCGAGGATCCTGTTATCCAAGAATTGAAGAGCTGCTGACCCACAGAGGGAATCCAACTCAGTCCTGGGTATGGGCAGGCCTGAGTCAGCTGCACACGCTTCCTGCTCACCTCCTCTCTGTCAGGTCTGCCTGGCCCAGAGTGCACATGCTCATTCCTTTATCAAGGCCTTTGTCCAGGCTTGACCTGCTCCTAATACAGTCCCACCCTGCCTGGCCCACCAGTAGCACCTCATCCAGGGAGCCTTCTCTTGTGACCCTGCCTCCTCAGAAGCCAGAGCAGTCGGGGCTTGTCCACACAGAGTAATTCACCATGGATGACTCTGGCCTCAGTGCCCACTGCTGCCCTGTATTCAGCCTGTTTCTCATGGTGAGAGAGCAGCCACCGGGCAGACTAGGCCCTGTCCTAGAACTCCTAGAACAGAGTTTTGTTTTTGTTTTTGTTTTTTTTCTGAAATGGAATTCTTTAGAAATGAAAAAAAGAAATCAATCGTGATGTCTGGGGCCAGCCACCCGGGGCATCAGTCAGAGGGTGGAGTTCAGAGTAGCCACACAGTCCTACTGAGGGGAGTAAGAACAGCACCCAGGAAAGGCTGCTTCCAGCTGTGAAGGGGACAAAGGAAGAGGGTAGGAACAGTTCCGGTTTGCCTCCATCAGCTGTACCCTATACCCAGCTGGTTCTCAGAAGCTCCCCAAAGGCATCTCTGCATGATTTACACCCCCCCCCAACCCTTGCCAGTTCAGGAGCTGTGCCGAACGTAAACGTGGCATGACCCAAAGGAGCCTGGAGGAACTTGAAGAGCCCTATAGCCTCTCTGAGTCAGGAGACACTTTTCTTTCCCTGGCCCTGGCCTCCCCTTCCAACATGAGGATCGTAACGTCTGTCCTGGCCACAACGCCAGGCTTTGAGGCTCACAGGATGTGCTGTGGTAACATCCTTGGCAAGTGTGACACTCTCTGAAGGGGGAGGGCCAACCCCATCAGCTCCCAGAGCCAAGCGATCCAGTCTGAGTCTCCCAAAGCCTTATGCAGAGCTTGAGTGGTCACGGTCTGGCGGAACAAGTTACTGTCCAGATGGTCCTGGGAGTCAGGGGTGCACATGGGGGTGTGAGGTAGATCCACAGCTTCATTCAGGGACCCTGGCCCAGAATCTTCAGCTGCTCAAGAAAAAGCTGGATGTCCACCTGCCCTACGCCACCCTCAGGAACTGTTGCTCTCACTGACTCCCATCATAAGACCTTTATGAGTTCAGAGGCACATCCCGTTTTATAGATGAGGAAACATCTTCAGAGAGGGGCAGCGACTTTTTATGGTTACGTAGCATGTCCCAGCCTACCTTAGGGAGTCTTATTTTTCTTTTGACTCTCAGAAATCAGAAAGAAGACAGATAAGGAAGGCAAGGTTCTTTCGATTGAGACGAGAGCAGCCCTGATCTTTCCCCAGTTGCATTTTCCTTTGAGTCTAGGAAGAAAGTGAAAGTAAAGTCTCTGCTTCCCTTGTATATTCCCGTGAGGGCTGGCAGAGCCAGAGTAGGCTCAGCCTGAAGTAGTAGCCTTCCATCTGGCTCTCTGGTCCACCTGGGAACCCACAGATGGATTCCCTTTTAGACCTCTGTGTTCCGAGCTAGACAGCCTTGGATTTTGGGGTTTCCTCTGTTCAGGTAGGCTTGTCCTCTCCTGGCCTGAGTCCTCTCCACTTCTGACAGGTGTCTGAGGCTCTCCCAACATACAGACCACAAGGCTGGGACACCTCCATGATGAGGGGGCCTGCTTCCCCCTTAGCGGGTAGGTGACAGGAGACTGGGGTTGCTGGGTGACTCAGCTCCCCAAAGGCTGAAGCCACAGTGGGTGGCAGGCCACATTTCTTCCCAGGCCCAGTTCCAGCTCTGCTATCAACTCTTTGTGTGGCCCTGAGCACTGACTCCTTTCTCTGAGCCTCATTTTCCATCCAGACTATGAGAGGAAATGACCTCTAAGGGCCCCTGTGGGTTTGACACTCTAAATTTCCATTTGCTCATTGAGCCTGCTTCTCCTTTGGGGGTGTCGGGGGGGGTGCCCTCAGCCCTCGGTGGGGCTGCTGGGGCCTATTTCATAGGTGGGTGCCCCACCTGTTTGAAAGAATTGCCACAGGGATTTCCTGGATCCTTTGTGGGTCAGACTGGCAGTGACCCACTGTGGGTCCTAGTTCAGGGATGGAGCGGGCAAAGGGGTAGTGGCAACCCCCCAAGGAAAGGACACACAGCCTAGCCTCACAGCCTCAGTCTGGCCTGGGAATGTGGAGAGGCCACGTTAGGTGAGCTCCGCCTCTGGAAAGTCTTCATTTACACAACACATGGCTGAAGTCACTTCACAGAAGAGTCACCATTTAAAAACCCTCCACTAGCCCCCTCCGCAAGCCCCTCCCCAGTTATAGGCCCTAAAACCATGAGCACTTAGTCACCTGAGGAGCCTATCATTTGCATACAGGTCCCGTGACTCACAGTGGCATTTAACCAAGTCACTTCCCCTCTTTGGGTCATCTTCCTAATGTGCACGCTGCGAGGAGCTGAGAAGGGAGTCAGGCTTTTGCTCTGAGGCTTGTGGTTTCCCATGATGCCTTACCCTGCCCCAGCGACATGCTGTGTGGAGAAGAGCTGTCTTACCCACCCAGGGCCAGGCTGGGTGGGTTGTTGGGCTGCCTATGCCTGTCAATAATCTCAACTACAGAAGCCTGGGGGAACCCAGGGAGGAGCGGGGTGCTTCATGCCCAAAGTGATTAGCTAGATGGGCACAGTTGCTGGGTCTATGCCAAGCCCTGGGTGGCCCCCAGACTACATCCATGGCCTTATCCCAGCTCAACATGCTGACACCACAGACCAAACTCTGGGCCTGGGTTCACCTGACCCCAGGTTCACCGTGGCACTGGGCACAGACCAGACCCTGGCACAAACAGCCTTTCCCAGACATGAACACCAGCAGCAGGAGTGCCAGGAAAGAGGACACAGGACCGCCACCCCCCAGCTCCCGGCTCACCTGAGTGGGATACGGATGGCAATATAGCGGTCAATGGCGATGGCCAGGAGGCTGAAGATGGAACTCTGTGTGAGGACCAGGACAAAGCAGGCGATGAAAAGACAGCCATGGCAGGCGGCACAGAAGCCTGTGCTGATGGTGATGGCGAAGGGGATGGCAAGGACCCCCACGGCAATGTCGGCCGCTGCTAGTGACACCACAAAGTAGTTGGTGACGTTCTGCAGGTTGCTGTTGAGCCACACGGCCCAGCACACGAGCACGTTGCCCAGCACGGCCAGCACGGCGATGGCCAGCTCCACTGTGATGTACACGAAGTCCATGGTGGGCATCGCCGCAGTTGGGCAGGGTCAGCAAGGACGCCGGCTGGGCCAGCTCACGGTCCATAGCTGCAGCGCAGCTGGTCCTGCCCAGGCTCCCGAGCCCCTTCCTCACTGGAGCCAAGAGGGTCCGTGGTGGGGGAGACGATGCAGCTCCCCAGGCGCTTTGTCACCGCCGACTCTGAGCGTCCAGGAACAGGGCCCTCTCAGGGTCCCAGCGGCGGCATCTTGGCTCAGGTCCACTCGCGCTCCTGTGACCCCTGCAAGGGAGAAACCTCATGAAGAGGTCGGGCCACTCACATAGGTGACAGCTACAGGCTCCCAGGAGCTGCGCTCAGTTCTGGAATCACCCCCACCCTTCCTGGGGACCCCACCACTGTGCCAACCAGGCCTGGGCCTGAGGGTGGTCCGCCATGCCTTGCCCCTCCCACCCCAAAGAGGGCCAGAGATAAGCCCCAGTCCCTGTCTTTTTTTAAGGAGAGCGTGGAATCTTCCAAAGTTAAGTCCCTCAAGTTAGCCCTGGCCCCATATCCCCAGTTTCTCAAGCTTCTGTGCTAGCCTGGCCAGTCTCCTGAACGAGCTCACTACCACCCTGCAGAAAGACCCTTTACTCCTCAGAACTCAAACTCTCTCAGGCCCATCCACCTTCTCTTTCAGCCAGCCTTCTGTTAGGTCCTATCTTGAGCGGCCTCCCAGGGTGGCTACCAGCACCTACCTATGCCGGCGCAGTTAAGGAGAGGCCCAGAGACCCCTAAAGCTCCGATCTGGGGAGCCTCCTGATCCTGCTTCCCACGGCTGGCAGATAAGCAAGCCCTCTTGTCCTCGTGGTGGTGGGTGGGTGGTGTGCACAGGGTGGGGAGCACCCCGAGCAGGAACAAAGGGGGCCCGCCCCTTGGCAGCCCCCGCCAGCTGCTGCACATCTGGGCAGAGCAACTGCCACCCGCTCCCCCCCACCCCCCCTCCTTGCTGTGCCCTGCTCCCTCCCCTCATCACCTCCCTCCCACCAGCTCCCTGCCAGGCTGAGGGCCTGCACAGGTGAACCAAGCCTGGTGCCAGGCGGAAAGCAGGAAGCGCAGCCAGGACTCATCAGGCGAGCTGCGAGTCTCCTTTTGGGACCTCAGTTTCCCCACAGATACCATGAGGAGGTTGGAGCCCAGAAGAGCTCTAGCGGTTATTTCACCACTTTTATGAGAAGGAAAGACCTGAAAGGGCTGCCTGAGTCAGACGTGCTAGAGTCGTGAGGCGTCAGTGACACCCCTGAGAAAGAAGCAGAAGCCTGGCATCGTCCAAACCGCAGTGCTACCCCTTGAACTACGAAGGAGTTTCCACACCTGCCAGGTCGGCCCCAACCTTGTCACACTCACATGTGCTGCCCTAGGGGGTTCGCAAAGCCTGACCCAGCCCTCCTCTATCCTGGGCCCTGTGCAGGCAGCGACTCTGCCTCGGAACAAAAGGCCTGAAGCTGCTTTTCAGCTGACTGAGTGTGGCTCCCCGCTTCACTTCCTGAAGGACCAAGGAGTAGTAATGACATGGGGAGAGAGTTGCTCATGGTCCTTGGCCATGACCAAAGGATCAGACTCCCCTCAACCTCCAGTTTCGGAAGTGAAGGTGGACTGCAACAGAGGAGGCCCAAGTTTTCTTCTAACTCCGATGTGGCTTAAGCTGGCAGGCATGGGCTGCAGCCACACCTGAGGGGTATTCGCTGTGCCCACTAAGCTCAGAATGGAGCTCCTAGCACCAGGGAGGGGAGGAAAGGAGAGAAGGCAAACCACCAAGGGCCCAAGCAGCTCCCAGTGCCCGCAGGAGGTGCAGAAGCCATCACTCGGGCTGTGAACAAGCCCCACCCGGCCCTGCCAGGCACAGGACACTCAAGCACCAGCTACTCAGAAGGTGTAACATTAGCAGGGAGGGGCCAGGCCAAGTTTTCCAGAGTCAAGACTGGTCCCCTGGTATGGCTCAGTGCTTTCCGCAGAGGTCTAGAGCAGCATTCACCAACTCCTCCTGCTCCCTCCCTCTTAAACACTACAGAGGGCACAGGGGTCTCAGGAGCTGCAAAAGGGAGGCGACAGCCCCAGGCCAGCCTCCCAGGCCCAATACTAGCAGCAGCGGCTGCAGCAGCAAGCTGCTGTCTAGTCAGGGCTGGTGAGGCCCAGTGAGCCCCAGGGGCCCTGCCTCCCAGATCCCCATACCCACTGCCCTCCTTCCCCAGGCTTCGGCCCTTCCAGGGAAATCTGCATCGAGAGGTGCCAGGGCATCTGGTAAGCCAACCAGCTCAGTCTAGAAGCCTGACAATCATCTAGAGTCGGAGGGCCCTGGAGCTGAGGTCGGGCCAGCAAAGATCCACCTGACCCAGATGCATCTCCCGTGCTGTGGTGCTCAGGCCAGACTGCCAGCCCTGGCCCAGAGCCCTGCTGACCAGACCCCACACAGCTCTATCCTGGACGCTGGGCAGACTCCACGTGGGCTGCGACTGCAATGCTGAAGGGCCTTTGGGGATCTGGCCCAGTGCTCCGCCTCGTGGGCTCTCCTGGTAGCCCCAGGAGCGGATGTCCCACCACCTCTGTGCTGCGGGCTGTACCCTTTCTGACTAAAGTGAAGCTACCTTCACACTGTCCACCTGGTCTCGCCAGATGCATCAGATCTTTCTGCCCACTCAGAAAGATCTTTATTTCCCGCATGGAAATAAAGACAAAACAAGTCCTAAAAGACTGTTGAGGACGTCACCCCCTCCACTTCCAACCCTCCCTACCTCATTGCAGTGAGCTCTTCCAGCATGTTCCAGGGGAGGCTGGCCTGGTCCTGCAGGCAAAAGGAGTGGCAGCCCAAGGCACCAGGGTACCGGGGCAGGCAGGGCAGGGGGGGGGCCTGCTGCAGAAGCTGATCTGTGGAGGAAATCTGCCTGGGGAGGGGCTTCTCTGACTTGTAGCCTTTGCCAAACATTTTCGTATAAATGCTCCTATTATGGCCAGTTTCAAACTACTAATGTGTCACTGGCCAGACCTGGGAATCGACCCACATGGTCATGTGAGGACTGCAGTCCGCAGGCTCCAGCCAAACCTGCTCCAACCCTGCCTGGCCACCAGGACTCTGCTCTGGCCCTCTAAAATAGCAGTGTGGTCTGCTTGGGAGCACAGGAAATGAGGGTGCAGGACATGGGGTTATTGGCTTTGTGAACCCCATTTTACAGATGAGAAGCTAAGGCACAAAGACGTAAATGATCTCTCCCAGCATTAGGGTGAGCACAGAAGTGTGGGATAGACCCAGACATCCCCGAGGAACACACAGCAGCGGGAAGACTTCCTGGGGCCTCCTGGGCCCTCTCCACTTCCCTCCCTTCAGAGGCCTCCAAGAGACAGGAAGGTTGGAGGCCCAGGGGGAGGGGGCCGGGGGCTGGGGCAGGATCTGGCAATTTCCTATCCTTCTCTTGTTGACTATGTCTATTTAATTAATCCTTGAGTCATCTGTTGCTAGCCAGGAGAGGAAATTAAATATCAATAATGCACTTTCCCTTGTTGGGGACAGCACAGAGGGCAGAAGATGTCCCTTGGACACTAGAGACACATGCCCCACCGCGCATGACAAGCCCAGGCAGGGTTCCCAGCAGTCAGACTCAAAATTGCCACTTCTTCCAGCCTTCCCGCTCACTCCCACTGGCCTGGTCACTTTAATTAAAACTCCATTTACTCAAAACCCCACGTACTTCCCAGCTACGCCTGGCTCCTCACATGTCAGACTAGCAAGGCTCTCTGCACACATGCCCAGAGGGTGGCTGTACCCCCCTGAACCTGCAGGGCACGTTGGGCCCGCTCTGGGCTCCAGAATGCTGCTGGAGACGCCCCCCAACACTTCTCATACTAAATGTTTCCCGAATACCTACTTGGTGCCAGGCAGCAGCCCAACCTCAGGCCACAGGGAGCTCTAAGCCTGGTCCCACGCAGTCCAAGATCACAGCGGGAGGATGGAGCCCAGGAGGCCGAGCTGGGAGCAGCCACTACCGCTACCGGCGTGCAGGCCACTCCCGGCCCCGGGACCCCAGCCCCGCTTCAGATGAGTCTGCAAACCACAACTTCAAAGCACAGGAGCAAGATTCAGACTAAGGGAGATAAGGGACAATATCCAAAATATGGAGATGAACTCACCCCAGGAGAGGTAAAGGTAATCATGTGATAATGATTTTCAAAGGCATTTAGGATTTTCAGGTAAAGGCAGAGCATCCATAAATAAGAAAGAAAACCTATGAACCAACTGGCAGAAAAGAAACAGACACAGATGACAACAAACAAGAAATAATTTAAAATTCAGAATATGAAAAACAGGGGCTTGAAGAGAAAACACCTAAGGGCTTCGCAGTATACTTGTTCAGTCTGTCTGTTCTGATCTCCACTGTGTGGTGAATCCTCTCATCCCCCTGCACCTCTGGCCTGTACCCCAGTTCTGTATGCAGAAATAAATCTTTAAAAAAGAGAGAGAGAACACACCTAAGGGTTGGACATGCACACAGTAGAAGAGGCCATCAGGGATCTGAAGATAGCACTCAGAAACTCTCACACAAACTCATGAAGAGACCAAAGCCATGAAGAGCCATGAGAGAAACCGGGAAGGCAGGCTGAGGAACGTCACATTTGTCTCACGGGAACAGCTGGGCTCCACGCAGCGCCCAGCCACAGGCCCGCGCTAGCTGCCATGTCTGGTCTCTCCAAATCCACTGAGGGAGTGGGCAAATGTCTTCTGAGGCTGCCCAGAGGTAAACCACCACTCGACCACAGAGTGCTCAGCCTTTCCCCATGGCCCCTTCTCTCCCAGGCCGTTGAGGACCCGGGAGGTAGCCAGACAGGCACCCAGGACGCCCCTCCCCCAACCCCTGGGATGTAGGGTGCTGCTCTGTTTCTGGGGGCAGGATGTGGGCAGAACCAGGGTGGAGCTTAGCCCAGCTCTCAGAGCAGCCTCCACCAGCCCCTGGGCCACAGCTCCCTTTCCCTCCCTGGGCTCCCACAATCACCCTCCTAGTGTCCATGTGTCCAGGCCAGGCGCCAGAGAGGCTGCAGACCTCCACTCCTCCCATCCTGAGGTGGCCACTGGCGCCGGCCCCCCTCACCTCACCTGACATTCCCCTCCAAGGGGTCCCTCCTCACCCAAAGGTGCTGGGTGTCCACCTGTGGTAGGAGCCCAGCTGGAGCCCCATTCCCGCTCTGTCCCACACTTCCTGAGATGTTGAGCAAGAAGCTTCCCCTCAGTGTGGGGCTCCTCCTATGTGAGAACCGCGAAATGACCCACACCCACCCCTCTCTCTAATGGACTCCAATGGCAGGGTGACAGGAAGGTGGTTCCTGAAGCGAGAACACGGGGGAGAAAAAGGGGAGTCTTCTCTGTGACCTTCAGAATACAGCCTAGCTGGCCTGGGGTAGGACCCTGGCAAAAGCTGGCCTGTTGAAGGGTAGAGTGTAGGAGCACAGTGACCAAAAGGTCACTGAGGATAGGTAGGGGGGAGGCAGACCTACTTGGGGGTCCCTGGGAGGTGAGTGCCATGTTGCAGTCTGGGGCTGAAGGGAGAGGACAGGAGAGGGCAGGACCACGTCAGGCATAGTCTGAGGGCTGGGGCTGGTGTTGCTGGAGCCTGCAGGCTCCTTGGCCAGGCCTAGGGCCCAGCTCATGCTCTGCACAGGCCAACAAGGGGCCACAGGTAAATGTCCTATTGACACACAGCTGCACTGCCCAGGGCCACTCCGAGGACTTAATTTTGCAGATATGATGCCTAAAGGCCATATCAGCCCTAGGAGCCCCGGGCAGAGACCACCATCCCAACATCGGGGAGACACCAATGTGTTGCTACCCGCTCTCCAAGGCCCACTGACAGGTGACAGCTGAGCTCGACCAGCAGAAGTGTCTCCTGCCCAGCAACTTAAGAAATAGAGGCCTGTTCTGCACCCTCAGGCACTGCGCCCCAACTCTAGGCCCACACCTTCCCTCCACAGCTACCAACACTGCCTGGGGGGCTGATGCCGTCCCTTCTTTCAACTTTGCACTTCTCTGTGGTCTCCTCGGCATCCTCACCCCACACTCCAAAACTCCGCCTAATATGTGTTCCCCTTCCCTCACGCGCAGGGCTCAGCACCCAGCACCCATTTTCGGTTTTGGTAGATGTGACACACTCCTTAAGACAGCTGGGTGGCAACTCCAGCTCCTCCAGGGTAAATGGCTCCAATCAGATGGAAGCAAGAGCACTGTAGGACTGCAGGTCACTGCTGAGAGCCAAGGGGCAGGAGGCCCACACAGCCACACTGCCCAGGGCCACTCCCAGGGCCTGAATTTTGCAGATGTCATGTATAAAGGCCATGTGCTTTCAATTCAACTAATTGCCACACACCCCTCTGTCAACAGGGATCCCTTGTGGTGTCCCCTGACCCTGCAAGGCTAGCTGCCTCCCTCGGGGTTTCCCCAAACTGTTCTCTGTTCAGGGGTATGCTTTACTCATTGAGCTTTACTCATTGCGCTTGTTTTACAGGTGACAAGACAGATTCTAGGCAGGGATTTGCCTCAAGGAGTGAGTGCAGGAGGCTGCATTAGAACCAGGTTTGGAAACCAGATCAAGGCCCATTGGGTTGCTCGAGGCAAATCCTTGCCCTTTTAGGCTGGATTCTCCTAGGAGACAGGACCCAGGGCATGGCTGCACTTCTTGGAGCCTGTCTCCAGCCAGCTGCGTCTGGGTTGCCCTGGGCCTCCTTGGGTCTAGTGCTCCTCAGTGTTCCTCCCAGAACCTGGTGTGCACTGAGGGGTGGGGGAGCAGGGGCAGAGGTTGGGATTGGCCACGGGGACTCTAGGACCTAGGAGAGCCAGAGACCCCAAAGGACAAAGGCAGAACAAGGAGGTGTGGCCACGGGGGAGCCTAGGGAGGTGCTCCTGCTGTGGTCCTGCGGGGACCTGGGATGGGGTCGAGTCTTCCGGTCCATCCAAGACCTGCTGGACGAGCCACAGCGGGACGCAGAGGCAGCCCCGGAGCCCACATCCCGCCTGCCTTCCGGGCGGCTGTGCTCCAGAGAACTTGCCACTTCGGCTCTCGGGGCCTGGGCAGAGCTCTCCATCCGCGGGCTAGCGGCTCCCTCCTTGATCCCTTGGGCCGTCCAGCGCCGAGTCCCTCGAGTGCGGCCACCATTCCCGCCATTCCCACCTCAGCTCACCGCACTCCGGCTGACGGTCAGGCTCACTCCGAGGCGTGCACCCACCCAGCCGTCCTCCGGCCTCTCCTGGCCCCCCTAAACGGGGTTCCCGCCACCAAGGTCCAGCAGACGCGCCCGCGCTGGGTCCGGAGTTCCAGATTCCCTTTGCTCTCTACACCCGCGGCGTTCCCGGCGTTCCCGGGGCGTTCGGGATGCCGAGGGTCTGCGGGTGCCGTCCCTCCCCCTGGAGCGACGTCCCTGCGCCCCGCCGACCACCTGTGGAAGCCAGCACCCTGCCGGGGTCCGACCCGCCCTCTCTCCAGCCGCTCCTCTCCGCCCACATAAAGCACTGGCCGGGAGCTCCGGGGGTGCCCCAGTCCGTCCCGACGGCCCCAGCCCGACGGACAGACTCTCGCTGCCCTCATCGCGTCTCCGCACCCTCCGCCGCCCGGGCCGCCGCGTACCCGCGCCCCTTCCCCTCCCCGCCCACCCCAGCGCACCTTCCGGTGGAGTTTGGGGCACAGCAGAAGGTCCGCATCCCGCCCCCAACAGGGCTTAGGACGTGCGGCCGCGCCCGAGTCGCCCCTGCACCCGCCAAGCATTCGCCCCCGAGGGGCTGGGATCGGACGCTGGCCCTGGAAACTTGCGCCCGGGGCGGCGAGAAGAGGGGTTCGGGGCAGCGAGGGACCCCGAAGGAGCGGGACCCAGGCCGCCCTTTCCTCCAGGCCCGACAGCCTCCGAGCCCCACGCGGCCCTGCCGCCCTCCCGGGGCCCTGGGGACCCCAACCCGGGACCCCAGCTGACCTGACTCTCGCTCGCCGGCTCCCGCTGTCTCCGCGGCCGCTCCAGCTCCAGCTCGGACGGCGCCGCTCACGGGCGCCCCCTGCAGGCGGCTTCCAGACCCGCGCTGTCCCCGCCCCGCCCCGCCGCGCGGGGAAACCGAGCCCCCAGCCCGCGGGTAGGAAGAGCCCGCCGCGGGCCCGGGCCGTGCCGCATCCTCTGTCCGGGACCCCACCGTGTGGCTCTAGCCCGCTGGCGATCATGAGGCCACCTCGTCCAGCGCCACTCCCCTCCCCTTCTTTCTCCCAGTGAAGCCCTCTGCCACCGGCTCCTTTCTCTCCAACTAGCCCCCAGGCCTGCCCCCGCCACACTGCTCCCCAGGACCTCTGCTGTTTGTTTGGAAATGGGTTAGTTGGGTGCTTCTGCGTCGCCCTTTCCCCAGTGTCCACCTGTGCCCCGGGAACTGCTCAGTGTCCAGCTTCCGCAAATCTTTCCATAGCGCTCCTTTTCATGAAGGATCAAGTCCAGCCTCCTTTCCCGAGTGTTCAAGGTCCCTGGGGACTGGGAAATGGCCCCCAGACTTGCCTCCTTCCTGAGCTTTGCCTTGTGAGGCTGCTGTTGCTGGTGGTGGAATCTCCAAGGCTGCCTTTAGCAAAGAACTGGCTACCGGCTGCCTCCTCATCACCCCCACCCCCAGGCGAGACCACAGTCCTTCCTGTGCTTACTTACAGCCTGTAGGTGCATCTCGGTCCTGCCCTCACACCATTTCTCTGGGCGGGAGTGCCAGTCTTACTCAAAGACTTCAATCTCTGAGCCTGCCCTTTCCCTAACCCTAGGTCCATGTTCTGGAGATTTCCAACTGGGAAGCACCTCACATATAGCCCCAACCCACCCATACAAGGAGGCCTGCCGTCATCTCAAATCTGGACCACAGTGTTGCAGCAGCTCCAGTTCTGTATGGCAGCATGGCCTGTGCCAGACTACCGGGGAGCTGAGGGCTGAGGGTTTGTAGGACCCTTGCATTCTTGAGCCTCTTGGTGCTGGTAGGCTAGTGGGAGAGGCCCAGCACAGAAGGCTTGACAAGGGTCAGGCTGGACCCTGGGTCTGAAACCAGGGCAGGAGCAATCTGCCGCGGTCCCCAGCCCAGCCAGGAGGCAGTCTCCCTGGCTCCTTCCAGCTCTAGCGCCTGTGGCATCGGGTCCCTATGTCCTCTAGAATCCACTGGGGCCTGTGAGGTTGTAGTGAGCGAAGAGGGCACCACTTGGAGGGATCGGGACCTGGACACAATCTTCGGAGCCACTGAGGCTGTGCATGGGCAAGGCCTACATGAGAACGCTCCAACTGGGAACGTCCCAGCGTTGCCTGCCCCAGACGCCTCTCTGATGTCCAACCTCCAGGACCATGTTGCCCAGTTCATCTCTCCCCTCCCACAATTAGGCCTCTGATGGGAACTAGGGGGCTGAATGAGCCCACCCCCACCCTCCCAGAGCCTTTGTGTTAATGAAGGAGCTCCCCCTCCACATGAGGACACTGCCCTGGAGCCTCCAGCTGGGGCTGCCAAGCTCTGAGGGACCCATGGCCTCACATGTAAAATGGGGCTGTCTTTCTGCGCTGCCACCCCTGAGCTGTGCCAGAAAGAGACCATGGAATTCCAGTGGGGGCACCTCCCCACAGCCCTTGGCTTCCCACCCTGGCTTCCGGCGCATGGGGTAAACTCCTATAGGGAGATCAGCCCCTCCCCCCCCACACCCATACCTGTTAGACTAATTTTCATTCAACAAACATGCAAGGAACAGCTTGTCTTCAACCACCTGTGACCCACAAGGGACCATGGAGGTTCCTGCAGTAGAGGCCAACAGTCAGCCCTGGAGTTACTCTTGTCCCCTAGCCCCCAATGTGGGCTTCCACTCTTCTCACCCCTGCATCTCCAGTACCCTTCCCATCCAGATCTCTCCACGTGTGGCTGGTCACTCACAAACCTGTCTTCCACAGCTGTACCCTGTGCCAAGGAATAAAGGCTTCATTCTGCAGCTGGCACTCTGAGGCCAAATTGTCAAAGCTCTCTGGGCAATGGGTGTGGGTTCCTCAGGCCAGGTGGTCTCTAGGCAGAGACTGACCCAGCTCCAGCCCTAGTGCCAGCTCCCCAGGCCTTCCAGAAGCCTCCCCCAAGGCAGACAGGTCTTACAGCACCTGCTAGAAATGAGGAAGCGACTTCAGTGGTTCTGTCATTGTCTACCCAGGTCTCCAGAGAAGCCACTCACTCATGTCCAGAAACTGCATATGCCATGGACCCTTCAGTTCAGTGATGACAGGAAGCAGGCATGGAGTTGGGGGGGGGGGTGTTCTTAAACTTGGTCTCCCCCGTGGTTGACCGAAACCCCTCAAGGCCCTCCTGGAGGCCCTCTGCTGCTGAGGCCTGTGCTCGTAGCACATGAACCTTAAGTCTGCCTACTAGGTCTTAACCTTGGGATGCTCTCAGCCACCCTGTGCCCTTCTAAGCCTTGAGAGCGCCTCAGGTCAGGCACCTGGGTACTATCTAGGATTCAAGGTGCTATGAGAGTGGGGCACGGGGATGCCCCTGGCAGGCCCCATCTTCTACCTCTGGCCCTGGGTTTCCCAGACCAGCTCTAGGCAGGCTTTGAAGGCTGTGAGTGCCTGCCCTTCCTTCCGTCCAGCCCAGCCAGGATGGGGTTCCTCAGGCCAGACAGTGGGCCAGCTGGGCTTTCTCCTGCAGCAGAATTCCTTTCTCAGACTCCCCACCCCCACCCCACCCCTGCTGGCTCTTTGTTCCTGTCCAGGATGCACCTGCATGGCCTCTGGCCCCCTGATTGTTTGCTCTGAGGCCAGCTGGGCCACATCCAGGGAGAAATGCCAGACCCAGGACCAAGGTGCTGGGGCCAGTCAGCATCCCCTGATAGCAGCCAGGTCACCCTGAAGTGTTCACCAAACTTCCCCCAAAGGGAGGGTCACCACACGCTTCCTAGGGATATGAGCAAGTGGGGAGATCTCACAGGGTGCCAGTTCATGCTCTAAGGCAGGCAGATAATGTCAGCGTTCGCTCCCTAAGGGGCGCAGCCACAGTAGCAGCTTCCTGCCCAGGTCCCAGGGAAGATGTCAACTTCTGGGCACCAAATAACCCCATTAGGGGGACATGTCTCTGAGCTGAAGTGGGCCCATCAGTGTAGATGGAAACTGAAGCTCAGATAGTCGGGCTGAGTCTGGGGCTCCATGAGGGCAGGGATAACCTGGGAAAGGGGAACCCTGTGTATTCCGTGGCCTGCCCACGCTGGCTCTTCCCCTTTCCCTCTGGGTCAGTCGCCTCCCAGGACAGCAGACTCTCTCCCTCCCACCCCCTGAGAACCCTAGATTCACACACACTTGGCAACGAGACCCCTCCAGAGCTCCCAAGGCTTTGCCTTGCTCTGGCCTGATGCAGGCTGTCCTCCACGCCTCTGACCTGGGTGCCCATGCTCTCCACCTCCCCCACCCCGTCACAGCCTCCCCCTAGTCTGCTCTCACATGCTCGAGGAGGAATCCCCTGAAATTAACCAGGCCACCCTGTTCACCAAACTTCCAATTATATAAAAGCACCCCTCCCCTACCTCCACCCCTGGTTCTAGAACCTTCCCCAAGTCAAGACAGATCCAATTCCCTTCCAGGGGTGCTTGCTTGAGGTGGAGTCTGTGCTAAATTCAGGGAAGTAGAGACTTTGGGTTGGCCCCACCAGCAGTTGGGTCTCTCCAGCTGCTTGCTGCCCCGTCAGGTAGAGGATCCTGCCTTGTGAGGCCAAGAGGGTCTGAGCAGGTTGGGAAGTGAAGCTCCAGAAGTGTCCCTAGGTGGTCTGCGTCATTCTGTTCTTGAGGCGCAGGCATGACAGGGAGGAGGGACGTTTTGGGGAAGGTCACCCTCCACCTCCCCCCTCAACCTGTGGGGTAGCAGCTAGAACGGTCCATGCTACCTCTGTGGCCCAGGGAGTGTTCAACCCGTTGGCCACAGGGACGCCACCATGATCGGTCCCTGCTGCATTCAGGCTCAACATGCCTGTCTCAGCAGTCTCTTACCACACAGCACAGGTTACATGCAGTAGGGGCGGAGAGCTCCAATCTGACCCACAGCTTGCGCCCACAGCTGGTGAGTGGCGGGCAGCAGAGGTCCCACCGTGCCCTCCCTCAGCCTCCCCATGCGCAGGTCAGGATTCCAAGGACTTGGGTGCTATGCTCAGGCCGGGCAAAGTCAGCAGCCTTTGAAGGGCTCTGAGAACTGACAGGACACAATTCAATGCAGGATGGTGGGTGCCTGTCTCCCCGGGAGCAAGTCAGTGGCTGGAAGGACCCCCGACCCTGGGGAGTCTCAGGCCCTGGAGGAGCTGTTTACACAGTGCTCCAGAGCCAGCCTTGTGGGCCCACGCACAGGACATGTGCAACGTGACAGGATGCAGTACCGCTTCCCTGAGTGGTTGCCCCCGAGGGGTACGATAGCGATTGTTTCCTTTGTTTCTCTGTAATACTATACATTCAGAGAACTACCTCTAGGCATATATAAAATAAAACCTTGGGCATCAACCCCCTGCCCTGGAACTGCACATCTGGCTAACACTGGGGAAGGATGGGGTGTCCCGCCTTATAGAGCAGCCGTGTTTCTGGGGTCTTCACACCTGTCATACCACATCCTCTGGGCTTACCCAAGCCACCCTCATTACAGACGCAAGTATTTGGCCAAGGCTCTGGCTCTGCTCTGGCCCGGGGGGGGGCCTCTCCCAAGCTCCAGTCGGCTCATTTCCCCACCCTGGGGAGAGGTGGCCAGAGGGTGGAGGCCGGTCAGCAGTGTCCTACTTGCCACGCCCAATCACCATGTTAGAGGGACCAGAGGGAAGGGCGAATTAGAAAAGTCAAGCTTGATGTATTTCAGGAATTTTAATACATTCGAGAATATTTAATGGAACAAAATAAAGAAATATCAGTCAGCAGAAGCCTGTAGTTGAGAGAAATAGAAACACAACTGGCCCTTTTGCAGTAAAGCTTGTGCTTGAAGGGAGAAGTGGCAAAATGACTTCCTGG